GTTCTCACTCTAGCTCTGCGGAGCTCTGAACCGTACCTGTGCCTCTCGCTGGACTCCCTCACCAGCAGGTGGTTGGCTTGGCGCGGCAGCGTGGAGCGCTGGAGGTTGGAGTGCGTGTCGTACAGGAAAGGCTCGCTGGGCTCGGCCTGCTTCTTCCTCAGCTGGTTGGAGGACGAGTACAGCTCCTCCTCCGCCCTCTGAAACAAACATCAGTGGGTCAGGGCGTCACACGGTGGAACGAGAAGGTCCACCCRGTGTGTTGTTTGCTCACCCCGGCTTGTTGCACGTCGATGTGGATCAGCAGAGAGGCTAGCTCCAAGTTGTCACTGAAGCCGTTCTTCAGAGGGACGGAGCGGTAACCTGCAGGAGCAGCAAATGTTTTATGTTTCTTCTTATTTACACATTTAACCCTCCTGTTCTGTGTGTACGTGAACCCACCTGAGCGCAGGCCTTTGACAGGAAATGTGGCCTGAGCCAGGAAGTTGGGGTCTGAGAACATGTCTTCCTCGTTGACCACAAAGCGAAGATAGGTGAGTTCTGGCTCGTAGACGTTGAACGCCACGGGTTCTGCCGGGACTTTCCACACCGGGTTCAGACCATTATCACCTGCAGTCACCAGAGACGATCAAACATAAATAAATAAAATAAAAATAAAAGTCAACCAAACCATAAATCCTGAATATACACTTAAAAAAAAACAAAAAACAGAAATGACTGCAAATTCCTGTTACAGCTGTTTTTTTTAAGACATCTCAGTTCCTCTTAGCTGTAAACTCTTGAGTTTATATTTACAAGGTTTGTGGGGTTTTTTTTGTATGTTTCTGTGTGATCAATGATTATTATTTAAAGATTAATGAACACAATCTTTCTGTGTAGATGTCCTGATGTCTGTGGGAGATTTAACACAAAAGAAAAAGGAGACAAACAAACAAAAAGAAGAAGAAGAAGAAGAAGAAGTTTAGTGTTTCAGAGCCCATTAGTCATCAGAGGTAATTCTGTCCTGGACCTCCCACCTCCGTCTTACACAGAATCAAATCTTTAAAGGCCTTCTGGTTTTGCTTGTATGACAGCGTGGAGCTAAAACTGGTTTCTCTGACTTACGGTAAACGATGGTTTTGAACTTCTCCTCGGTGTGTCCACACAGCTCGACCTCCACGAACGGGCTGATGATGCTGCGGCCCAGTTTAGGGAGGTGCCTTGCAGCTATCACCTGCGGCGAACAAACGCACCTGTCTTTATCAAGCTCTCTGCTCCTACAGGCGCTGGTAGGACAGAAACACCAGCTTGTGTGTGTGTTTGTGTGTGTGTGTGTGTGTGTGTGTTTGTGAAGAATACCTTAATCTTAATTATGTACTTGACGTTCTTCTTCTCCTGGCAAGGATCGTAGCTGTCTGAACGCATGAACTCCGGCTGTAAAACGTACCCGGTGGATCCGTTCAGGCTGAAGAGGGCGCCGTTCAGCTGCATGGCTTTGTCTGTGTGGAAAACATACGATTTCTGAAACACTGATCTGATTTGGTTTCAGTTTACACCTCAGACGACCAGTATTTAAATTTTCAGTTGAAAAGATGTACGATTCAAAGGAGAAAATGTTTCCATTCATATAAATGTCAAAACGGTTCCTCGTCCCTCCTGTTTTGTATTTTTCTTCTCATATTTTCTCATCTAACTTGAGACAAAGATGCAAAAATCCTTGTTTGCTTCTCTGGAAACAGAACTTTTAATGATTGTTTGAAAAATTTTTTTGTTTGATTTGGTCTGAGTTCWCTTTAGGTCACAGATTGAAGGTATTTAAATAAATCTGTGCCTTTCCTGGAATAAATGTAAGTTTCTGTTGCAGGGACCCCCCAGACAGTCGAACCTACCTGCGGTCTGGAAGTTGAGAGCTGCCATGTGGCAGCCCAGGGCCCACAGAGGGTAGGGATCATAGTTGGAGGACTCCATCCGCTGACTTTTCGGGTAGACGCGACTCAGAGCTTTGCGATTGTACTGCAGGAAGTCCCTGGTGCGGCTCTTTCCTGGTAACTTGTTCTCCACGAAGGAGCGGACCTCTTTGTAGGTGTACTTCTCTACAGAGGAAAAACAAAAGCAGTTCGATGACATGAACGTGGTCTGTGGGTCGATCAGGAGTTTTTTCTTTTTAGTGTTTGAGGCCAMTTAAGGGGTTTTAGTTTAAGCTTTGTCGTTCTGTGGTTGCATGTTTATATTTGATATTACTTCAAAAAAATTACTCAAAAATTAGATCAGATAACAGATCSTTCTTTTCTAATCTAACAGTAAAATAAATGTTTAGCATTCAGCAGCTGTTAAAGCAACAGTAGCCTGTGGTTTGGATGCACAGTAGTACCACAGGAAACTGTCTGGTCTCTAGCTTTTTTTTTTCACTTTGGTTGCATCCTGTTTGTTCAATAACTTGTTATGGCGTAACAAAGTAAAAAGCAGCTTCAGGCTGAAGAAAACGAGGTGCCTCCGTGACAGTCGTTCAGTTTCCAGTGGAAAAAATGAGTCCAGAGGTGCAAACTTTGTCAGGTTTTCTCTCCGCAGTCTGAACTCCTTCAGTTTCCGTCATGTTTCAGTAAAAATAAGTCTGATTTACATTTTCTGTTTTACTTTGAAGTACCTAAGTTTGTGTCTCCTGCTGTGTGCAGTCATTATCTTTAACACAAATAAAAAACTAAAGAACTTTACAGTTTCTTGTCCACAATGAAACAGCAGAGGAGACCTATTATTATTATCATCATTATTAATAAGCTATTAATATTAACACTGTAACTAAAAGCTAAATGTAGCAAAACTGTAGCTAAACGCTACAATCAACAAAACAACAGCTAAAAGCTAAATGTAGCAACACTGTAGCTAAACGCTACAATCAACAAAATGTAGTAACACTGTAGCTAAACGCTACAATCAACAAAACAGCAGCTAAAAGCTAAATGTAGCAACACTGTAGCTAAACGCTACAATCAACAAAATAGTACCTGAAAGCTAAATGTAGCAAAACTGTAGCTTCAATTTAAAACTGCATGACAGTAGCTAAAAGTAGACAAAAAGTGCGAATGTGCTGAAGCAGACTTCAGTGAACTTTTAGTAGAGAATTAAAGAAAGGAATGCATTTTAGAAATGGAGTTACAGTAAATATTTCAAAATGTATGWTATTTTATTTTACCTTTCCAGATCAAGCTAAAGGTTTAATATAAGAATCTTTAAAATGCTTTGAAGCAGCCTTTGTGAAAGTATTTATATTGCAAAAAAATGTACAGAAAAAATCTTAAAAGTATTAAAGGTTTGTCGACCCACAGTGAGGTTGTGACCCCAGGTTTGTAAATTATGTGTATCTAATGATRCCCTCCTGTGAGCCACACCTACACAACATCAGGCATTTGTTGTGGTAATTCTGATTTATTATTTTCATAACTGAAGCTTCTCAGATTTGTGGTTCAATCAGAAAGGCTGAGATGTTGATGAATGAAATAACTAAAACTGAATAAAGGATCTGACCCATAACAACAGTCTGTGAAGTGTCGGGAAAGCACCACTTCTGGGTCATACTGTACACCTGTGTGTGTGCGTTTACCAAAGCGGTCCTTCTCCTTGCTGCGCGGCTGACAGTAGACYACCAGGTCCGACATCTCCATGGCAACCTCTGCCTTCTTCTCCACTTCCTCCTGCTGTTTTATCTGTTTGGACAKAAAAGCAGCCACTTCCTGTTTGTACACAGATGCTGAGAGACCACCGGTGCAACAGTGTGTGGTTCAGCTGTCTGAGGCAGCGTAAACGTGTCAAACCGCCCTTTGAGCTGCCTGACACAGAAAGATCTTTTATCTGCCTTTAACTTCATAAACTGCTGCAGAGACACAAGTCCAGTGACACAGAGGAAAATCCCCCTAAAGAAGAAATAAGGCTCACGCCTCGTGTGCATTCTGACTGTAAAGCTGTTTATTTTCCGTCTCCCTGGGGTAGTTTTGTAGTATTTGTGTTTTTCTTTGTATTTATGTTGTTTTTTAGCAGCTTTGTGCAGCTGAGTTTTTCTTAATAAACACGGGTCTTTGTAGCTTGTGGAAGAACCATATACACAGAGATGCACATAACCGGTGCGCAGGTGCGCTTGGGCGATCATAAAAGGAAAAAGTGCACCAGATGGGACGTCATAAAGCTCCCTTGCGTACCTAGGATTGTACCTGATTGTCTGTCAAAACAACAGCTAGCAGGGCTCTAGAGTGCAACCAGTGTGGTCGCAAACGCGACCTGATTTCTTAAAAAAAATAAAAAAAAGAATCCAGCAGCACAGGTCTGAATGGATCGTTGTTCGGTGCGCCAGAGCGGGACCCTGATATAAGGATTAAACGGACACTGCCTTCAACAAATCAGACGAAGTCCAGAGCCGTTTTGTCCAATCAGAGCAGGTCAGGGCGGGACTTTCAGTGAGAGCATGTTTGATTGAAGCAGCTGGCTGGTCAGTTCGAGTCGACTCGA